CTCAGGCAGGCCCCGGCTCGGCTCGGCTCGGCTCACTTCGGCGGCGCTCCGGTCTTTCCGGCGGGCAGGGGACTCATTTCCTTCGGGATCGGGGATTCGGGGTTTTCTCGGCCGCCCCCCCCTTCCGTCATTCCAGCCCTCCTGAGAGGATCCCTCCGCTCCGGCGCCTCACCGGGCTCCGTCGTCGTTTGGTCGGCGATTTTGGTCTCTGCCGCCTGCGCCGGGAGTTAGATGTAGAAAGAAGTCCCCGCTTAGTCGCTGGGAAATGTCACCCGCAGCGTGACGGCGAGAGGTTGCTTCGCTTTTGTTGTTTTCTCCGTCCCTGCACGGGTTGGTTTGTTTTTAATTTCAGACTTTTGCAGCCCCCTGGAAGAGTGGTGGACTGCGTTAATGCTCCCTCTAAGCTGTGGAGTCTTGTGAGCAGAAATCCTACTTTGTGAGCTACTGGCATTAAAGTTGTGAGCCAGCGATTTGGCTACTGCAGAAATTAGTTTGCTCCGGAGCCATCCTTCCTGAGCTAAGGCAAAAAGCTCTGAGCTAGCTCACACTAACTCAGCTTAGAGGGAACACTAGGATATATAATTATTTTTTAAGTGGGAAAAAGATTTTCACCACATTTTTGCTTTCACAACTCTTAATTTAATTTAATTTAATCTTAATTAAAGGGGGTGAGCTGGCAGTAATCGGGACACTACAAGAGGTGATTCTGCCTAAAAAGGATGTCACCTGACCCAGAGACCTAGGGTTGCCAACTCCAGCCTGGAGAAAAAAAATGTCCTGGCCTTTTAACGGAGGAGGGGGAGGAGAACAAGAAGAACTGGATTTATACCCCACCCTTCGCTACTTTTGCTCACAAGACTCCAGAGTTTAGAGGGAGCATTGGTTCTAATCCCCTCTCGCCATAACCTAACTCACAAAGTAGTGGTTGTAAGGATAAATTGGCTGTGGGGAGAGCAAAGTAAGAAAGCTACTTAGGTACTGGTATTCAGTGGTACACTGCCTCTGAACATGCAGGTTCCATTGAACTGTCTCGGCTGATAGTCATTCACAATCCTATCCCATGAAGTGGTCTAGTTCTCTTTTGTAGCCACTTGAGAGAGGGGCCGCTGCACTTTGTGGCGGTTACATCCCCCAGTTACTGATGCGCAGTGTGAAGAAGAGCTTTCCTGTGACAGTCCCTCTGCCCATTAATGCAACTGGGTGATCTGGAAAACCAGGATAATGGCAGAGAGGGAAAACGCTCTCCCAAAATTCTCCGCCGTGGATGATTTCATACATCTCTCTTATGCCTTCCCTTTGCCACTGGTTCTTTAAACTTATAAGCCTCAAATGCCTCTCCTCCTCCCAGGGAAGGTGCCCGAAATCCCTTGACCACATGGGACACAGGAAGCTGCCTTATACCGATTCAGAGCTTTGGTCCATCAAGCTCGGTACTGACTATTTATTTATTTATTTGACATATCCTGCCTGCCCTGCAAAGCAGTCTCAGGGCGGCTTACAAACTGTATAAAAACACTAAAACAAGAAGGTTGATAAAATCACAATAGAATCCTAAGTATAATATATTATGGCCCCGGTCACACGGGCCAGATAACGTGGGGGGGAGGCGTGGCTGTTCGCCCCGGAGCAAAATAAAGCGCGGTAGCCCGATCAGACGGTCCCCCGAGTCTTCACGCTTAGGCTGTTAGCTGGCGATCACACGGCGATGCTGGAGCATGGCAAAGAAGCGGCGCAACAAGCATTTTGAGTTTGTGCGCATGCGCAGTTCCGCAGAGCAGCACTGCTTTCAGTTACGTGTTTGTGCACATGCGATTACGAAAAACATCCGGTTTGTGACGGGACCTGGACGGGTGCCAGAATCCACGGTTACTAGCACTCTCGCGATCAGACACCCACCCCTGCCCCGCGTTTTCTGGATATTAGTGCACTTTCCACGGTACTTTTTTACTGCGCATCTTCGGCGGGACGCCATGGGTTGGCAATGGGTGCACTACGCTTCCCAGATATTGCGGTGTGATCGCGCCCCGAAAATCCTCCTGACATTCGTGCCTTTAGAGCGGCAAATCCTCCATGTGAACGGGGCCTATAAAATGCTAGTACAACTAATGTAACAATGGCCGACATTTGCAGCAATCACAATCAGTGTTCCCTCTAAGCTGAGTTAGTGTGAGTTGGCTCACAGTTTTTTAGCCTCTGGCTCACACATTTTTTTGTCTTAGCTCAGGAAGGATGGCTCCAGAGCAAACTAATTTATGCAGTAGCCAAATTGCTTGCTCACAACTTCAATGCCAGTAGCTCACAGAGTAGAATTTTTGCTCACAAAACTCTACAGCTTAGAGGGAGCATTGATCACAATATGCAGACAGCTGGTCTGGGCTGCATCAGGCTGTTGGTGGTATAATACTATTGAGTATTGATATTGATGTTACTATAGTCATCGGTGTTGGGGCCAGGGCCTCGCTCTAAATGGTGTGGCTCCCTAATCGAAGGCCTGGTGGAAGAGCTCCGTCTTGCAAGCCCTGCGGAACTGTAAAACTACTCAGACTGGCAGTGGCTCTCCGGGGTCTCAGGCAGAGGCCTTCTACATAACCTAGTATTTTTAATGGGAGACACCAGGAATTGAACTTGGGACCGTCTACATCCAAAAGAGATGCTCTACCTTTGAGCCCCAGCCCCTCTACAAACACTTGAGCGTCTGGGTCGCTCTTTGCAGTAGTAAAGAGTAAGAGTCCAGTAGCACCTTAAAGGCTAACAAAATTTGTGGCAGGGGAGGAGCTTTTGTGAGTCACTGCTCACTTCTTCAGATACTTTGGTTGCTCTTTGTCTGCACATTTTGCAGCTGTAAAGTATCCCTTTTGAGGTGGGAGACCCAGAGAATTGTATACTGCCAGTCTTTCAGAGAGACAAGAGGAAAAGAGAAGAGACTGGATTTATACCCCGCCCTTCACTGGGAGTCTCAGAGCGGCTTACAAACTCCTTTCCCTTCCCCTCCCCACAACAGACACCCTGTGAGGTAGGTGGGGCTGAGAGCAATGTTCCCTCTAAGCTGTGGAGTCTTGTGAGCAAAAATTCCACTTTGTGAGCTACTGGCATTAAAGTTGTGAGCCACCAATTTGGCTGCTGCCTAAATTAGTTTGCTCTGGAGCCATCCTTCCTGAGCTAAGACAAAAATGTGTGAGCCGGAGGCTAAAAAACTGTGAGCTAGCTCACACTAACTCAGCTTAGAGGGAACATTGGCTGAGAGACCTCTGAGAGAAACTGCTTTTTTTTCAAGAACAGCTCTGGCAGAACTATGGCTTGCCCAAGGTCATCCAGCCAGGTGCAAGTGGAGGAGTGGGGAATCAAACCCGGTTCTCCCAGATTAGAGTCCGCCCACTTAACCACGATACCAAACTGGCTGGAGAGAGGGAGAGAGAGACAGACAGACTATTTGGTTTGTTACCCTGTTATCAGAAGCCATTCTTAACAACCAGATTACGTCAAACAAATTGCATTTATATCTCTTGCCGGGAAAAGGTGGACCAGGTAAGAAATCATCGACGGTAGCCCTTTCAGACAGCCTTCCAAAGAGAAAAGATGAATGCTACCCTTCACCTCCAGGCTGGATTACTGTAACTCGCTCTATGCAGGGCCAGCATTGAGATGGATCTGGAAGCTTCAGCTTGTCCACAATGCAGTGGTGTCGTCTTCTCACAGGGACGCCATTAAGAGCACAAGCATGGACGGCTTCAAAAGGGAATGAGATAAGCACATGGAGCAGAGGTCCATCAGTGG